ATTTAGCAGATTAGCACCCAGAATATAAGAATTTTTCCAACTGCGCAGTAAGCGCACTATTTGACGCTTCTATTTGACTCTCAGATATGACGAGCAGGCCCCAAAATGTACTATTTAGCAGATTAGCACACAGAAAATAAGAATTGTTACAAGTGTGCTGTAAGCGCACTATTAGACGCTTCTATTTGACTCTCAGATATGAAGAGCAGGCCCCAAAATTTACTATTTAGCAGATTAGCAGCAAAACAATTGTAATGTTTAAGACTGTGCTGTAAGCGCACTATTAGACGCTTCTATTGACTGTCATTTATATGAAGTGCACACTGAAAAATGTACTATTTAGCAGATTAGCAGCAAAATAATTAGAATGTTTACCACTGCGCTGTAAGCACACTTTTAGACTCTTCTATTTGACTCTCAGATATGAAGTGCACCCCACTAAAATACTATTTAGCAGTTTAGCACCCAACAAAATTTAAGTTTTAAAACTACAATGTGACAGCAGTATTTGACGCTTCTATTTGCCTCTCAGATATGAAGTGCACCCCACTAATGTACTTTTTAGCACCCAAAATATTTTAAGTTTTAAACTGCAATGTGACAGCAGTATTTGATGATTATATTTGACTCTCAGATATGAAGTGCACCCCACTAATGTACTATCCCACTAATGTACTATTTAGCACCAAAAAAAATGTACTTTTTAAAACTCCGATGTAACTGCGGTATTTGAAGCTTCTATTTGACTCTCAGAAATGAAGTGCACCCCACTAATGTACTAGTTTGCAGAATCCTTTCCTAAGCTGTCCCTCACAGCGGCAGCATCCTCTCCCTACACTAATAAGAGCTTGTGTGCGTGCGGCGCTACGCGTTTCCAGCTTATATATAGAGGCTGGGTCACATTAGTAGGCATGACTGTGATGGCTTCTAAGGGCACACAAGTCAAACGCTTGTTGATTGGCTGCCCTGCAGCTTTTGAAAACGCGTCATTAAATTGCCGAACAACGAACTCCAACCCGAATATACAGTGATATGTCCGTGTTCAGGTCTGGGGTCCAAAAAACGTAATGTTCGGTACGAACCCGAACTTTACAGTTCGGGTTCGCTCAACTCTACTTGTGATATTTGTTAATTGTGTCAATGGCAAAGCTGTGTTTCATGACTGTGTGCTTATGATAACTGTCTTAGGGGGTGACTGTGACATGGTGAGTAACTCTGGGAGTGTGAGTGTGACAGAGCGACAGGGGTCAGTGTTACAGTGTAAGTGGGGAGCCTGTGTTTCAGTGTCAACCTTCCCAACACTAATAACTTTTTCTCTTATGCATTTATCCTTTCCTGGGAAGACAACCTTGGGTGGTCTTCAAGGACATATTTTGACACATGCGTTTTAATTCTTATACCTATCTACCACTTACCTGAAGGATAATGTTCACTAAGACTAATTATTCTTTAATTGATCATTACTTACTTGTTTAATTATGTATGTGTCATAGTGTATTTCCTTTAGAATTCCCAATTCTCTGACTGAAATTATTCACCTAGAGTCTCTTTCATACCTGCCAAGTCTATTTTCATACCTTTCAGGACAGAGATGGGCAGGCAAGGGGGCAGTCTGCCTGGGGCATATTGCAAGTGATAGGTCCAGCTATCAAATGGGTTGGTCCATTCATCAAAGTAGTGAGCCCACCCATAAAGAGTGTGGCCAGGCTGAGAGACGACTTTCCATGCTGAAGCTCTCTGTGCATGGTCCTAGTGCCCAGTCCCTTCTTGCATCTTGAAGTTTGCTGGCAGATTTCAAAATGCATGGCAGGTACGTAAAAGGCAGGTCCCTAGAATACCAAAATACAGGACTGTTCCTGCAAATTTGGGACAGTTGGCACCTATGCTATAAGTTTCTTTTTTTTTATTGCAAAGCATGAATTTAGTGATCAGTATTTGCATTTATGCACCTATATCTTCTATATAACAGTCTACTTCATGTGAGTTTAAAGCTGGTCAAAAAAAATAATATATACCAACAGTATCAAGGTGGCTGAATTGTTTTTGGAAGTATTTTGTCAGGATAAGGCCAGGAGGTCAGCGAGTGTATCTATGAAGTTGTGTAACCATAAATGTAAGACATATTTCTCCAAAAATACATATCTGATTGAAGCTGTTTTTTCCAAGCCCTCCTCCTTCCTGTATCTGAATTTTGTAAGCTCTGAAAGGAAATGAAATATCAATTACATGGATTTGATTAGTCACGGGAAACAGAAGGATGAATGGTGCTGTGTCCAAACAAACATTCTCTATGGTGATCTTTCTAAACAAAATCTAAAATTATATTTTCCTTATAAAATATTTCAGTCATGTCATATTCTACTAGAACAAGCTACTATTTGTTAATAAACTGTCTATCGTACAATATTATCTTTTCATGCTTTTTCTCTGTAGAAATATGTTTCTAAAGTTGCATAAGTTCAGGGTTGCTATTAAAGCAATTGCATCCCACTACAGTCACATTGCTGCAATCTTCTTTATTAACATCTTCTGTAACATCTCATTCTTAACCCGTTTAGTTACTCTTCACTGCTGACCCATCCTCTCCCCCCTTTGCCCCCAACAAAAACACGTGAGACCAGAAATATGGGTAAGGGCAACGGCCACAGCTTTATTAACTTTACAACTTTTTAACGGACCCGCATTCTATCCACCTTACAGCTGTTGGGTAACTTTCCCCAAAAGACAGATACCACTTCCATGTCCGGAGTTCGTATCAGCTTGCCTACCGCCATCAGCCTTCGGCAGGCTGCGACTCCCCAAGCCGACTCATCGTTTCCCATCACTTTCCATTTCACCGGCCAGGAGCACCGCCGGAGCTGTGACAACGAGAAAACAAAACCAGAACCACGGACCACGAACACCAGAAAACCAGCAACACTGTACCAGGAAACACAGGGAGGGTGGGCGTGAAAGAGTCAGGCTCCCTACACTCTGGTTGACTAGTAAGTCCCCCCGGTCCTCCTTTTTATTCCCCTTCCAAGTTGCAACAATGTTTGTACCCTTGTGCCATCCCTCTTACTTCTGGGCAGCAGTCATGTCTGCCCTTCCTTTCAGTCCAGAGCAGTACTTTCTGTCCTACTTTTCAGTGAATTGAGGAACTGAGATCACTATTTATAACTAGAGATGTCGCGAACCGTTCGCGAACTTCCTGCGAACGGCTCGCCGTGGTTCGCCATGAACTGTTCGCGGTGAGCTCCGGTCAGCTAACACATCCCGGCCAATCTCCAGCAGACCCTCCCAGACCCTCCCAACTCCTGGACAGCATCTATGTTGAAGGCAGCTTCAACATGGATGCTGGCCAGGAGGTGGGAGGGTCTGGGAGGGAGGGTCTGCTGGAGATTGGCCGGGAGCTCGCCACGAACCGTGGCGAGCCGTTCGCAGGAAGTTCGCGAACGGTTTGCGACATCACTATTTATAACTATGAAACAGGCACCCAGACAGTAATTAAAACACTTATATAGGATAGGCCCTGCCACAAATGGGGTACATTGGCATTGTAAAAAGCTTATGCAATGTATTAGTGAATCAGTGGTGTGTATATATATATACATATATATATATATATATATATATATATATATACCCCTATTTACTCGAATCTAATGCACCATCGAATCTAATGCGCACCTCAATTTTTGAAACCTGGAAGCTGAAATTTTTTTTTCGTGGCGAATGTAATGCGCATTTATACAAGTAGATACTACTATATAACATTGTGCGACAATGAAAATGTTTATTGCCATATACCAGGCCCGGACTGGCCATCGGGCACACCGGGCAAATGCCCGGTGGGCCGCGGTGGCCGTGGGGGCCGAGGCCGGCAGGGGAGGTCCCAGGATCTCCCCTGCCGGTCTATGCAGGGCCGGCACTCTCCCAGCGCCGGCCCCGCTGTTTGCCACGACGGGCCGGTGGGGAGATCAAGGATCTCCCTGACCGGCCCACATGCGGCTGCCGGCGGGGAGGGAGGGAGACAGGCTGGAGAGAGAACCCGGCGGAGCTCTAACTTGCAGCTCCGCCGGGTTCCTCTCGCGAGATCTGGCGCGTTGCCATGGCAACGACCGGATCTCGCGAGAGTGAACTCTAGCCTCACTGGCTAGAGTTCACTCACCCACGAGGACCACCAGGGAACACCGCCACCCTGCCTGCCAGCGTGCCGGACCCCCCTCCCAGGCTAAAGGTAAGAAGGGAGGGGGGACATAATGCCTGTTTTTTTTATTTTATTTTTTTATTTACCCCCCCCTACACACACACACAATAACATTTATACAGCAATCTCACACCCATCACACACAGCACTTTCACACACAGCACTCTCTCACAGAGCACTCTCACACACACACAGCACTCTCTCACACAGCACTTTCACACACAGCACTCTCTCACAGAGCACTCTCTCACACAGCACTCTCACACCCATCACACTCACACCACTTTCACACACACAGCACTCTCTCACAGAGCACTCTCACACACACACAGCACTCTCTCACACAGCACTCTCACACCCATCACACACAGCACTCTCACAGAGCACTCTCACACCCATCACACTCACAGCACTTTCACACACACAGCACTCTCTCACAGAGCACTCTCACACACACACAGCACTCTCTCACACAGCACTCTCACACCCATCACACACAGCACTCTCTCACAGCACTCTCTCACAGCACTCTCTCACAGCACTCTCTCACAGAGCACTCTCACACACACACAGCATTCTCTCACACAGCACTCTCACACCCATCACACTCACAGCACTCTCACACACACACAGCACTCTCTCACACAGCACTCTCACACCCATCTCACACAGGGCACTCTCACACGGCACTCTCACACCCATCACTCACACCGCACCCTCACACACACACATACTGCACCCCTCACATACACACAGAACCCCCCCAACACACTGCACCACACACATACACAATACTTCCAAATATATGTGTGTGTGTGTGTGTGTGTGTGTGTGTGTGTGTGTGTGTGTGTGTATATATATATATATATACACACACACACACACACAACACTCTTAAAGGACCACTCTAGCCACCCAGAACACTTCAGCTTAATGAAGTGGTCTTGGTGCTAGGTCCTTCTAGGGTTAACCCATTGTTTTATAAACATAGCAGTTTCAGAGAAACTGCTATGTTTATCAATGGGTTAAGCCTTCCCCCAAAGCCTCTAGCAGCTGTCTCATTGACCGCCGCTAGAGGCGCTTGCGTGCTTTGCACGCAAGCGTCCATAGGAAAGCATTATAAATGCTTTCCTATGCGAGCGCAGCTCTTGCTGCGCGTGCGCATTCAGCCGACGGGGCGGATCGGAGGAGGAGAGCTCCCGCCCGGCGCTGGAAAAAGGTAAGTTTTAACCCCTTTCCAGAGCCAGACGGGAGGGGGTCCCTGAGCCACATATGCATCACATTACAGCACAAACACAACACGACTAAAACCGACCTTATTACACAATACCACACCACGACCAGCTCACTCTACACACACGCAATACCACAAGCAGGCTCCAAACACATGCACAATAATCTTTCCTGGCCTTTTGTCTCCTGGTATCCATTTATAGAGACACCAGAGACAAGTTGCAAGGAAAGACAGTGCAAGCATGTTATTAAATTTGCTTGCACTGTGCAGAACAAATACAGGACTTTTTTCCCATGCTAGAGCTCTTCAGCAGAGCTCTGCGCATGGTCTGCCCTGGATGAGCATTGAACCAACATGCTCACTTTGAGAGGAGGCGTGTTTGTCATTGGTGATGACAAAACACACCTCCTATGCCCCGCCCCCTTTTTAGTGGGCCGCTGTGTTAAAAAAATGCCCGGGCCGAATTTTTCTCCCAGTCCGGCCCTGCCATATACCATAGTAACAAGTTTAGTGTTACATGTTAAGTCTATTCTTTCTTTAAGCCCCTTTTTTAGGAACAAAATTTGCCTGTGTAATTTGAGTAAGTACGGTATATAGTTCATACAAGATCCAGCACATACTTTCGCATTCACTATTACACTGCATAAGCCTGCCACAATGCCAATGTACCCCATTTTTGGCAGGGCCTATCCTAGCAAACTAATGCCTGATCTTATGAGATTTTAACCCACTTACGTGAGAAAAACGTCCTCATGGGTCTCTCTGCAAATCAAGGTTATGGATATAAAAATGTACTTACCCTCTCACAAACACCCTTCTCTGACTGAAATGATCAAGCCGAGGCCATGTGTGTTCATATATTAAAAACGTGACCGTCCTGTGCAGCTGCACACATGCGGGTTGGTTGTCATGGAAACCAATAAATAAAAACAAAACCTGATCGTTTAAGTAGCGAAAACAAACTGATCTCACTTGCTACAAAAATGGAAATGAGAGCAGGGATTATTATCAACCTACTCAAAATCAATAGATATAAGCTTGTCAACAAACTTATATCTAATAATTTTGTGTAGGTTGATAATGTGTGTGCAGAAATATCTGATTGCTTTTATATATATATATATATATATATATATATTTGTAGTCAGGGACATAAGCCGTAATAATATATAATTAGAAGTAAGCACCAGTGGGTTGTGGTGTGCCGGAACCAACGTATTGAATTAAATAAAAAGGGGAGAGGTGGGAGGGATGAACCCAATGGTGTCGGTCCTGTCATGGAGGGGGCCTGAGTTTTTATAGCCAAGTAACCCCTCCCACAATTACAGGCTATGCCTTCATATTTGTAGTCGGGAACATAAGCCATAATAATGAATACAATAATATATAATTAGTAAGCACCAGTCGGTTGTGGTGTGCCGTAACCGACGTATGGGGTAGGCCTGTAATAAAATAGGGCAAAAAGTAGATGTAAACAAATCACCTTTGTTACATACATGTTACAAAGCTAAACCTTTAAATTCCTGTTCTGGCTGTGGTATATAACTGGTATGTGCTGCTGACTTCCATCGACCTAACCTTTTAATGACATGAACAGGAACATTGTGGCTTGATGCTGCGGAAGTGGCTCCAATTCTGAAGGAGTGGCCTGAAAAGGCAGAGGGGTCAAGACCAAGTCTAATGAAAAGTGTTCTTATGTAGAAAATGAATTTAGTAGTGGTCTGAGGTTTGCTATGTAAAAGGAGTAATGGTGAATTTGAGTTAAGAACATCAAGTGTTGATCAATATGTGTCCAGTAATTTAACTGGACACCAGTGGGGTAATAGCATACTTTGGTAGGAGGGCCTAACTGGTTTGTTTTTGTGTGATCAATGGTAAAAATGTAATGGTCTAAATCTTTTTGTAGACTCATGACTCATGGGTTTGTCCAAGCATTGTATTTCCTTCAGAATATTTTTAACGGGATAGATAGACATGAAAAGGTTTGTGCTAGGATAGGCACTTAGGATGTGATGTTGTATTCCTGTAGTTGTATGGTGTTTAATGATAATTTTAAATTAAGGTGGCAAAAGGAGATAAACGCCACTATGGATTTGAGGGAGTTAGTGTCGCTAATCTGGTAATCTAAAGTGAATTTACTGTAGAGAGTGAATGCCTGTGATGTGTTGGTAGAGAGGGCTGAGCTGCACAGATATCTGCTCTGCACCAAGATGCGCTCTAGTCCAAGATTAGGTCTTGATATGAGGGAGTGCTGACTGGACAGATGTTGGCTGTTGGATGGGCTCTGAAGAAAACCTGCAAATTAGAATGAGTAAACGAGTCAGTGGCTGTACTGATGCGTCCTGGGATATGTATACAAGTGATGTGAAATTGCAGTGTAGCCGCTAACCATGTCAGTCCTCAAATTAGTCTAGGTTAGTTGTAGGGCCTACAGTTTTTTTCCTTAGATAGTGGAACCCCTACGGCTGAGAATAGAGCAATTGTTTTGAAAATACTGACGGGAGTGGACTGAGGAGATTCTATAGTAAGAAAGTCATCTAGGTAATGTATGACTGATGGACATTCGGAATATGGGAATATGTCAAATATTTTAGGACTACCCTAAGCCCCAAAAGTCAAACGTGTTGCGAACTAGTATTTGTGCATCCAACGTATAGCGTGCACATGCCACAGGGATGAATGTATGGGTAGGAGCTTGAAAGCGTTGGAAACGTCAGTTTTTCCTAACCAGGCTCCTACACCTGCCCTTAGTATGGCATAAATAGCATCATCCACTTTGTCATATTGCAGAGAGAATTCCTCTGAGGGAATTAATGCATTGATGCTAGGGGTAGACAAAGAATGTGGAGCCGATAAATCATAAATTATTGTTGAATTTATTGTTGAATTTCTCAGTGGCTATACCTATGGGATTGGTACGCCAGCTGGAAAAGGGGGCTCTTGAGAACGGGCCTATTGTGAACCCATTGTTCAATTCTTTCATGAGCAGCACCTTTGTGCTGATGGGGTCAAGGAAGGCATAAAGTTAGGACATACATGAATACCAGTGGGGAGTGATACAAGGCCAGTGTGAAAACAGTCGGTGAACCCATTAACCAGGAAGTCGACTAGGTGATGGGAAGGGTGTGCATGAGGTAATATGCCAGGTTGTCAATGCGTGCTTCGGTTAATCATTGTTTTGGGTACAGACGATTAGGACACATAGTTTTTCAGTGTGCCCTGAAACAAATTGAGCAGACGTGCAACAATCTGCACGAGCTAAATCTGCCAGAATTGAAATTGCTGCAGATTTGAGCTTTCCCTAGATATACTATGGGTCTACCCAATTTGCCTTTAAGGCCTCTGTGTTCTGCAGTGGAAGAACCGAAGGAAACACGACTAGTGGAAGGAAGGCTTGGATCGGCTGGGCACAAGTTGGTGGAGTGTGAGATGGAAGCACATAAGGCACAAGCTGGTGGTTTTTGACCGGCAAAATGGCGACAATTAATTCTGTATCAAGCCTACTCAAGTCAGTGTGGGTATTAAATTGGGTGAGAGATGCAGCTGCTTTTGCTGAAAAAGATTTATGATAAAACAAGAAACCACCATACTTGTGCCCTAGGTCCACCAACTTGTGCATGTACAAATCCAACTCTTCCCTACGGTGAGGGGAAGTGGAGCAGATTACGTCACGATAAAGTCCAAAGGCAAGGATAAATTCAGGTATGGTAAGTTTTCGGTTGAGTCTGGGTTCTCTGGCTTTCCAAACAACCAAAAGATCACCATAGCAGTATTCCTTGTTCTCAACTTCATCTTGAGAGGCAATAAGCAATGAAACTAAGTTTATGTCCTTACCTTCCAGGATGTCTTTGGGAATGGTCAGGGGCACAAAGTGGGCGGGCATGATGATGTGAGTGGAAGTGCTCGGTATTGGGTTTGTGGTGGTGTCATTACCGTGAGAGGGAGCCGGCGTAGGGGTCTCTATGGGCGGGACGGCTGTCGATGGCTGAGGAGAATTCAATTTCTCAAGCCTAACACTAATAGTATTAATAGAGACAAGAAGGAATGACATTAAACCCTTGATTTCTGTATAATTGTTGGGTTGAAGGACAACTCTCAGCTGGGGAGTACAGGTATTGGTGATGAATAGTTTATGGAGTTCAGCCTTGCCATCTGTAGCTGGGAAAGGGACCCCTACGCGACGTAATTCTGCTGCGAGCCTAGGGATAGTCCAGGACCGCAGGGAATATGGGCTGGATGCTTCCAGATTCTCAGTAAGGGCGCTTGGATCGGCCAGGGTGGAAGGCCTAGCTGGGGTTTCGGGTATAGCGAGTTCCTCGTCTTGTTCTGGGGTTTGAGACATATTAAGAATGTAAACAAGGGTAAAGATGAGGACTTTAGTTGTGAGCGATTGCCTGTGTCAACTGGCTCTAGCTAAGCCCAAGGCAAAAAATTATCTGGCCCACAAGGAAGATGAAGCCCTGCTAGTGCCAAGTGGCAAGAGAGAGGCCAAATGGACGGGGGCCACTGAGTGGCGGGAATGTTGGCCTCTCGTGACTTTATCAAGACACAATATAATTGGGCGTGACTTGGTGAGGCCCTGACTATCCGACAGTGGTTAATGTGAGGCTCTATCTATGTGTTGGACCGAGGGGCATATACCTCGGATGGGGATAGGGTGTAAAAATGGAG